CTGGCAGGCTTGCACCTGGCACAGGCACCGTAGCCAGCCCATGCCCCTTTAAGGGATCCGGGGCCGGGGAGGGGGGCAGACGAGTTTCCCTGGTGTTGGCCAGAGTGGCCACCAGGGAAAGCTGGGGAGGGCTAGCCTCCCACTAGTTCTAATTAAGGGGCTACACACCCCTTAATTCGAACTAGTAAGTTCGAACTAGGTTTAGTCCTCGTAGAATGAGGTTTACCTAGTTCGAATTAAGTTTGAACTAGCGGAGCGCTAGTGTAGCGCCTATCAAAGTTAATTCGAACTAACGGACGTTAGTTCGAATTAACTTTGTAGTGTAGACATACCCAGGGATAACACATTAAATACGGAGCCAGGTAAAAAGCTGAGTGAAAAAAACAAAGGCCAGATCAGGTAAATGTAAGAGTGGAAGGAGGAAATTCCACCTGCACTCTTAAGCAAGCAAGCATGCTAAATTATGAAAAAAAGCTAAAGAAAAAATGGTTAAAAAAAAAAAAAAAAAAAAAAACGAACAAGGAGTAAGCCAGAAAAGACAAACAGCAAACTGCATTGTTAGCTATAACAGACACTACAAAGCTCCACCTAAAGTTGCAGACAACTAAAAAGGAACTGAAGAGGGTCTGCTCTGCTTCCCCTTCTCCTCCAATGAACATTTCTCCTCCGCCAAATGTACCTTCATACCAGAATATAAGGACATCTATGACACAAGCCCAAACACCAGGAGTTGGAAAAAAAGTAACTCTAATTACTAGTCCACAAGATCTGAGTAACCAGGATGTTGAGTCTAAATAAGAGCTGCTAGAATTATGCACGCAATCCAGTCCCTAAGAAATTTCCTTGATAACTTTTGGAAGTGCAAAAAGAAAAAAAATATAGTTTTGTGTCTGTTTCAACAACAGAACATCTAACAGAGAACTCAAGTCTGCTCTTGAGTGGGAAAGTGGTTACTTATGCACCATTTCTTGTAGTCAAGAGGTCTCCATCTTGTAAAAAGAGCAGTGTAATGATTCTGGACAAATAGAACACTTCTAGAGATTTATCATTTGGCATTAAATGTCTTAAGTAAGATGACCCTTCTTTACATAGTACACTGCTGTTATACTGTTCATCCAAGTATGCAATAGGCTTTCTTGAAGAAATGCTATTAGAGCCTATCATATTGTCCAGTGCAGTTTCATTTGCCATCAATTCCAATGTCCAGGCAGAGGTGCACTCAGAGGAGCGCTCTGCCAAAGCGCAGATATCCATTGTTGCCATTTCTAATGGAGACGGGGGCACTGAAAGAGACCCCTTTTAAAACATTCTTCTGTACTGCCCAATGTAGCATTCTTAGAATCTTTGAAGGTATGGAGACAAGTGAACAAATTCATCTTCCTGGAAGAATAATTTGTACTAAGCCACTGATGTAGAAGTATCATTAGATGTCATTCACTGGGTGTGTCTTAAGCTGCCAGTCATGAATCCCAAAAGTTTCAAAAGAACTGAACAGACTTCGGTCATTTAGTTGATAAATAGTCGGAATAGCCACAAACTTCTCCTTTGATAGAATTACAGCTGCCACAGAAGAATCTGAAGTGGTTCCTCAAAAAACACCCACAACTCTGTTGGCTTCATAGCCAATAGTCTGACTACTAATCCTTAATACTAATAGTGAAATTGGGATCAAATAAATGTAAAATGACCACTGAACTCTAATTCTGACCGTGTCTGACATAGCCAGTGATCCAGGAAAAAATCAAAGTAAATCCTCAAGCATTTTAAATAGGCAGCCTAAAACTAGGTATGTGAAACAATCATGACATGGTGGAGAGAAAAAAAAGGAACACCTTGTACGGAAAACTGTTGCCTCTTTCACAGAAACAGAGGCAATTCTAATGAGTAGCACTGATAGAACTTTAGAAATATATGTCTAAACTGAGCTGTAAACCAGTACTGGTTGCACAAAAATATTGACTGAAACCAGATTCAGGATTTGAAAATTGAACCTATACCTATGAAACTTTAGCTCTTTTAAATGCATAGAGCGCTGCAAATCTGCAGATACTTGCTTTATATCTACATTCACGGATGTGGATATAAAAATGGCCATAATGGGTCAGACCAATGGTCAAGCCAGCCCAGTATCCTGTCTGTCAACAGTGGCCAATACCAGATGCCCCAATCCTCACATGATCTTTCCCCTGTCACCCACCTCCACAGCAACAGAGGCTAGGGACACAATTCCTACTCATCCTGGCTAATAGCCATTGATGGATCTAACCTCCATGAATCTATCTAGCTCTGTGACTTATTTTTGTGGCTATGAATGTGGATGCAGGTACAAATTATGTTATCGAGAGCCTTGCAAATTTGTGAATATTAGCTTTATATCCACAGATGTCAATGTGGATATCCATGACTCTTTTTGCGGATACAGATGGACAGTACGCTACAAATGTGTATGAAAGTAGCTCTAGTTCAATCAACAAATCTGGTCCTTGTGTGTGTTCAGGCACATCTGCTGACTTTAATGATTAAAATGACTTTTACTCCTCTTGAGAGCGAGAGCTGAGAGCTGGATTCTATTCCTTCATGTGCATCATTACCATACAGTAGAACGGAACCATTCAAGTAGTTTTAACCCAGTGAAGATAAGGAGTTGGGACAGGAGCAACTGAGGCATTAATATGACCTGATGAATCCTTATTTTTGAAAATCATGTGTGAGGTGGACTTGATTCTCAAAATCCAGGATGAGTTTATAGAGCTAGTAGTTAGAAAATACATTTTTATTTATAATTTGAGTACATCTGATAAAGAAGTCTTAGACAGATACTAAAGATGGACTCCCCAAATGGCACTTGTAAGTCATTACTTTTCAGAGTAGAATAGCATTTTAATGTCTTCATCTGAGGTGGGGACCTAAGGCCCTGCTTGCCTAGGTCTGGCCCCAGAGACTCAGGGCTCCCCTTTAGTACTGGGAATCCCCCACTGGCGCTGCATCCCTCCTGCCATCCCCTTGGGGCTGGAGCACACAAAATCTACTAGCCTGGGCTCCCTCCGCCACAGGCTCTGGTGTGTGATGGGAACGTGGGGAGTGCCTTCCTCCTTCTCAGTCAGGGGCTACAACAGTGAGATTTTGTTATGTTTTTGTTTTGTTTCTCACTTGTGTGCAGCCCCTCAACTGATTTTTTTGTGAGTCAGTGGTCCCCAGACCCAAAAAAGGTTCCCCACCCCTGCACTAAACCATAGGGCTTTTATATATACCTGTTTCAAGATTCGAGCTATGGATCCCTGATCCATTTTGCTAGTGACAGCATCTTTCCTCAATCTTGCAGCTACTGTTCCAAGATAATCAAGTGATGCCACTCTCAAAGCCATCTCTGTAGACTTGTTACTGAACTGATGAACCTAACAAAAGCAGGATAAAATATTATCTACTCAATTCTTTACCTGCACTGTTTCTCATAATATATTATTTGATCTTATTCAGAAATTCATAAACTAATAACCTGAATAAATTACATAATTTGCAATGGAACATAATTGTATGCTTTGTTGTAAATGTGTTATTTCCAGGATACAAGAGAGACAAGATAGGTGAGGTAATATATTGTACTGGACCAATATCTGTTGTTGGAAGATATAAGGCCTGAGCTAATTACAACTTGGGACAAACTGTTAAGCACAAGGGGTTAACACATGTAGTGGCAGACATCTTAAAATGAAGTGGGCAATTAAAGATTAGCGAGCAGTGTGGTAATAAGCCATAAATCCAGTAAGTCTGTTGAGTCCATGCTTTTAAATATATAACAGAGTAATCAATTTAAATTACTGAAGATAATAAAAATAATCTACATTACCTCACTACCTTGTCTTTCTGATAACCACATATATCAATATTTTAACATTAATATGAAATTAATTTCCATCACCAGTTGGCCCGTTTTCAAAAATGCTCCTAAGATTTTTTTAAATGGACCTTCTAATCAGCCTAACTAGATAGGATTCATGTTGTACATCTGATATGGAACTTCATTGTTATATATGCGTGTTTGTGTATGTATGTAATCTGTCTACCACATGTATATTTGTAAACTGCAAGGTGCTATCTAACTACTGGTTGAACCTCCCTGGTCCAGCACCCTGGGGACCTGAACGGTCCTGAACAGGGAGTTTCCTAGACCAGGGGATGGATAAATTTAATAAGCCATGTACAGCACTTTATATCACTATAATAAATTGGAAATACTGTGGTCTCTTACCAACAACCTTCCTAATAAGCTAAGTAATAGCTCAGCAGCAGGCCATTCTGGCTTGTTGACTGTGGAAAGCAGATCTTGAACAAAGTTCTCAAACAGTGGCCTATAATCCTCTTCTCCTTGTTTACTACCACATCTGTTTAAAGGAAAATAATGAAAATGTTTTGTAATAACCATGTATTAAAAAGGATCAACTGTCTTATGTTGTTTGTTCCAAAGTACAAAAACATGCCTATTACTAAAACCAGATAGACCTGGAATGTCAACAGAAAGAATCTTCCCATCTAGCTATATTTTTCAGCAATAGATTCTCTAAAGAACAAAGAGTAAAAGTAGCTAAAATTTCATACATAACAAGGTAAACGAGGGTAGCTCTAAGTACAATGCAAGATACCTACAATTCATTCCCTGGTCCAGTATCTTATTTATCCAGCATTGGTTTCAACTACTGGAAACAGTTTTCTTAATATTTTATGGGGATATTAATGTATAATAAGTATCATACTAGTTTTACAGACTTTTCACTTGTTGATTACAAATGTTACATGTGTGCTAGCTCTCCTCTCTCTTCCAAGAATAAGAAATTAGGTCTCAGTCTATTTTGGTGAATTTGGTACTCTGGCACTTAAAGTTCATGTTGAATGAGATAAGCCTGAAAATCTTACTTGTATCTTCAGGATGAGTACATTAGATAGAATAGGGTTTCAAATCTGCATACTGAGAATAAATTAGTTCATACTGAAATCGTGCATTTAGAACACGGCTGGACAAGATGCAAGCTGCGGGCCACATCTGTCCTACCTAACACTTCGATCTTGCCTGCAGACTGCATCTGGCTGCTTTCTATTTATATCCTCCTGCCTGTGCCACTGAATTTCCATGAGTGGCTCAGGAAGCAGGATCTTATTTAAATGGCTCATAGCTCTCAGTCACAGTGCTATTTCAGCAAGGACCGGAGCCGTGAGCCCTTCATGTAGCTGCAGCAACCCCAGGCAGCTGGTAGGCAATGGAGCTGCAGTGGGGCCGTGAGCCCTTTGAATAGCAACAATTTAAATGGCTCACGGCTCTGCTGCTACCACACTGCCTGACACCCACCTGGGAAAACTATGGCTATTTAAAGGGCTCCCAGTTGTGGTGCTACCCCAGCAGGGGCCAGAACCGCTGTGATTTTACTGTGATTTTAACTCAAAGCCTCTGGCCCCAGACAACTTTGGGGGGAGGCTAGTTCCCAGCCCAACCCTTCCGCACCAGGTCCCCGCCCTTCTGAGGATGGAGCCAACCCGACCTACATACCACAATTCATTAAGTGGCCCCCCTGCAAAAAATTTTGCCCACTCCTGATTTAGGAAGTAGTCTTGCTCAACTAAGTCTCTGGAATTTATATTAGTGGTACCTGTCCATAAACAACAGGTGCAGTGGAGAAAGATCAAATCAGAGCCTGACATATGATGATTTGGTAATGTCTCAGAGATATGTAGTTTAATTTAAAAAGGTAACTTTCTTTAAAACTGATTCTGATAAGTTGCTTTGGTAGTACAGTGTACCTTAAATATATAACCAATAAATCATGTTTTTCATTCGTATTATAGGTGCAAAACTCCTGATGAAAGTTAAATTTTCCTCTTTGTATTATGTGGCATACATTTTACCTGCAGCTTCTCACATGTATACACAGTTCCCTGCAGAATTCTGTGGCATAAGAATTTTTGTGCATAGAGCTAAGAGTAACGGAATTTTACACTCTTTGCAAGTTTCTGTAACTGAAGCTTTCATATCAAAGACTAATTTTTCCAAATATTGTGCAAAAATTCTAAGCTTGAACTAGACTTCAGGTGCTTCTAATTTTGCAGTTGCAGGTTGAAGACTTTATACATTTTACAAGATTTATGAAGAAACCTTAGTGACTATTAAGACTATATGGGTATGTCTACACTACCCTCCTAGTTCGAACTACCTAGCTCGAACTAGCGGGGTAATGTAGGCACACCGCACTTGCAAATGAAGCCTCGTGGAATGAGGAGTAACGGTAGTTTGAACTAGGAAGCCTAGTTCGAACTACCTAGTTCGTGCCCCGTGTAGCCGCGCTGCACGGGGTTCGAACCAGCGGGGTTTTAAAAATGGCGGCCCCCCGCTTATGCAAATGAAGCCCGGGAAATTCAAATCCCGGGCTTCATTTGCAAGTGCGGTATGCCTACATTACCCCGCTAGTTCGAACTAGC